TTTAAGGGGGTCTGAATACTTTCCGTACCCACTGTATATTACTTATATATAAAATATTCTGTGGCATAAATGGGCTTCCATACTTTAATGAGTTTGACAGTCTAGTGACTGAAAAACAGCTGATATTCTGGAGAATTATTATTATTTTTTTCCAACTGGTCAAAAATACAAATGTCTTGTTACACGTTAGTCTGCATGTGATGAGTTTTTACTTGTCAAATAAGAGTAAACATATTATATAACATAATAAAAAATTGCACAAGCATCAGAAAACTGGCACATCAGGGCATAATTTTAGTGTTATTGAAGTAAACACCTGACTAAACAGACTTCACTTTAGACACAAGGTCCTTTCAGAGTCATTGTAAACAGTAACCAGTTCTGGTGTTTGTGTGAGCGTTGGGTAAATATCCTCCAGCTGTATTGTGTAACTATCAGGTTTAGTTTGTCTTTTCTTCTGTCACCGGGTTATACTGTCATTTTGCATTATGACCTCCTTTCTTCTTCTTTATATTCAGACATTCTGCATTTTACTTTGCTTAAGACAGACTTTCACCCTTTCATCTCATATTCACCATGAGCTGCATTACCAAACGCTGTCAAACACCACATCCAAGCATTGCTGATACTAGTTCATGGTGATTGAAACATACCTTTTGCTTGTACAAACTCCATTTACAAAATATTGACTCAATGCAAATGAGCATTACTACATCACATTAAACAGACTCAGGCCAAGGTGTTTTCATAAGATCTCCAGCTCCTTCATGTGTAATACTGAAAATGGGAAAAATGGATGCTAGTGTTCAACAGAGAAAAACCAGAGTGAGAAAAACAGGCTTCCTTTGTTGAGAAGCTCTGAGCCACTGACGTAATTTATTATAATAAAAATGTTGTTTTAATTTCCCGTCTTTTTTCTGAGCTCTAGGTTGTTCCAGACTACGTGTCACTAATAGATTTCTGTGGTGAAAATGACATTTGAAACATTAGAAATTAAATTAGTGAATTATTCCAAAAATGTTGTGTGCTAAACACAATTAAATAATATGCCCACCCATTTTGCATATTTTGACAATTTCATCTTAATTTCAAATCATGCACAATAAAAGTATTCTGCTCATAAGTGATATTTACCTTGATTTTCTCTCTTTACTATATTCACACATCACATTAACTCATATTCCAGCTCTTCACTGATATCTCGTTAAGCGAGAACTTAAAAAAAATAAAATAAATAATGGAAGCTTTATTGAAGCTATAACTTTTTTACACAATAAATATTAAAATGTTACACAACTGAGGTCCTGAAACAGTACACACACACCATTTTAAATAATAACCATTTTAATATTTACTGAAAAATAAATAGAATAAATATATAAATTATGTATAATAAATATATTAATTATGTATAATAAATAATGTAAATTAATAAAATAAATGTAAATTAAAGCTTCTCTTCATCAGATCTTTGCACCTTTGCACACAGATTTTGTCCCTCCGCAGGTATTCAGGAGATGTCCAGGATCACACCTTCATCATCACGTTCTTCACCACCTGCTTCATCCTTCCGCTGGGTGTGATCATCGTCTGCTACTGCAAACTGCTCCGGAAGCTCAGAAAGGTCAGCCGCTCCACGACACCTGGAGTCCGATTCACTCAGTCCTAATGATCTCCATGTGCTTTCTGATGTCATTACAACTGCAAACTGACCTCTGATCACAGACAAACCATAAAAATCATCTAAAGTCACTATGTGTGATGTTTACAGAACATTATTTATATCCACTGCCATCATCAAATCTAGCCATGATACCAGTTGTTTTGTCAGCACGCACTAAGTGTATGTTCGCAGGTGTCTAACACGCACGGCAGGCTGGGTAATGCCAGGAAGCCGGAGCGTCAGGTGACTCGTATGGTGGTTGTGATGATCGTGGCCTTCATGGTGGCCTGGACCCCATACGCTGCGTTCTCCATCGTGGTCACGGCCCTTCCCAGCATTCACCTGGACCCGCGGCTGGCAGCCGTTCCGGCGTTCTTCTCCAAAACCGCAGCCGTTTACAACCCCATCATCTACGTGTTCATGAACAAACAGGTGACGTTTACATTCATGCATGCATCTGTCAGACGCTTTCATCCACAGTGACTTACAATGCAAACATGTTATCAGTTCATGCACTGACTGGGAATCAAACTCATGATGCTTGATGCACACATTTCTAAAGCTCTAAATGATCAAACTCTGCTGTTATAGCGGTCTCACACTCAATCTCCTGCATGTCTTCTGTCGTCTGATTGAGAGTTTAGAGTGTTTTATCCAGTGAAAGCTCTTTTAGTGTAATTGTACAAGCGTCCAGCTTCAGCTGCTGCTTCTCATGTCAAATCTTGACTGATTTTGATCAAGTATGCATCAGAATAACGTCAGTAATATCTCCAGATGAACACTTACTGGACTGAAGCAGCTCAGCTTTACTTGATTCTCCATCAATCATGTTTTAGAGTCTCAAATCTGATCCTCAGGATCTTTTGAGGAGCGTTTGTTTCCAGAAGCTTTACTTTCACTGTTCCTCAGCGGAGGAATGATCTTCACAAGCCTCCAGAACATCTCACATCTTCTGAGGAGCCTTTATTTCTTCAGCTCTCAATCACTGCATTATATGTTCACATTTAGTAATGCACACCATTTTAATAATAACCAATTTAATATTAATTGTGTGGAAAGTATTCATCAGTGCTTTCAATAATGATGTATGTTCATTTTTTAAATGTAATTTTAAAGATAATCTGGGTAAGGGACAAAAGTAAAAACAAAAAACAAACAACTTGAAATGTTTATAGTTTTAATGCAACTATTATTATTATTATTATTACTATTATTTTCTAAATTTAAAACAGTTGAGTACTTTTTTTTTTTCAGGATTCTTTGATGAATAGAAAGATCCAAAGATCAGCATTTATCTGAAATAAAAAGCTTTTGTAACATTATACACTCTACCATTCAAAAGCTTGGAGTCTGTAT